TACAAGAATTAAAACCACAATCACAAATTTATAAAATTTAATCCTTACTTTGGCCTGCAATTAAGTGTATAAAGTTGCCGGGAGGGTTTAAATTTTATAAATGTGTGATTGTGGTTTTAATTCTTGTATCATTACTTTTAGTAGCAATATACCTACTTCATTTTAAAATTCATATTTATTTAATATTCTTGTTTGTTTACTTTTTTTATGTTATACATGTATGTATCTATTCATCAATATGTAGCTCCATCCACTGGATTGAAAATACATTTAATTTCGTGCATGATAAGTTTACCATTTATATTGTACGTGTGTGTGTATATATATATACAAATATCAGTATGAGCCATCTAGGCACTAGCCATGCTGACCTGATAAGGTAGGTAGGTAGTAGACGAAAAAGGTGCTGTTTTAGAAATTTTTGAATTGTTATACCAAAATTAAGCAAATTTTTCACACATTAATAGTATACATGCGCATAATATATTGTAACCAATACTTTGAACGGTAAGATTCTTGATTAGGAATTTGATAGGGTAGTTTTTTTTTGGTGCAGGAATTATTTGGAATCCTTGTCAATCCTTACTATTAAGTACTACTGTACTTAAAATAAAGTTTCTTTGGAAATTAGCAAATCTTTTTGCACCAGAAAAAATACTCAGCATTAACCATATTATAAATTACTTCCCTACAAAACTGTTATTGAGTATTTGTATAGCATTCAACACTTTTAAAACTTCATAGTTTTGTTTATGCATAAATTGGTTTTTCAGATTTGATACCTGATCATTTTTATACTAATAGAAAAATGTTAATAGCAATAGGAAGTTAAAATTTATGTAATTCTACGACCATAAGTGAAAGTAAAGAAGATAAGAGTAATATGTCAACTACACTATATCTGCTATATTCAATGCAGACCGAACCTTTTGCTCAATACCAGAGTTTCTAGCAGGTATATGATACATAGTAGTAGCTGGGATGCTATTCATATTATCAAACTGTATGAACAACAACTGTTATGGTGAGAACCACATTAAGTTGATGAAGTATAATTGTTATCAATTTTATTTCAGTCATTTAAAAATAAGAATTAGAATACGGAGTAATAATAACACATTATTTTTAACACCAACTATTTCTTACTTAACTTTAATCCTGTATTTGTATAACCTACCATTGTAGCAGAACCACCTAATAGTCTATTTCTCTCTTATGTACTATTGTTCTTTACTCTTAATAGTCAATATAGTCAAATGATCTGCATCTCTAAGTTAATAGATTTAATAACTAAAAAAGCACCCAGTTGATTTTTAAGCTATTTAAATTCAATACATCATTTTTATTTCTATGTTTATGATAACATTTTATATTATACACAAAATCTGCCTTACAAAATTTCAGAGTTCATGTTAAAAGTTATCCAAATTTAACATGTCAGTCTGGATACCCTTGAATTCACTTTTCAATCTCCTTTAGCCCTTCATTACAGCTGTCATACATTATCCTGACTGTTACTTTTTCTTTTTATGTTCACTAATCTATACCAGTCATTAAGGTAGAAAGTAAACACACAGATGCAAGTTTAGTAACAGTTCAGCATGAAAAAAAAAACTTTTCATATACACAGTTTAGTTTGTTAATTTTAAAAAAATTACACCAGTCAGATTAAAATTTTGACATGTCATGTTACAAAAGTACAACAAAAGACATGTGATGTAACACTAAGATAATGATTACTTATACGTTTCTTTACCTAAAATTTCTTTAAAATCTTGCCCACCAAAAAATGGCATGTATACAAATAATTACTATAAAATTACAACAAAAATGCAGCTTAAAACTACCAATATATTTATAACTTACCAAAATGTTAACACTTAAAAGTTTACATTAAGAGCAATCAGATAAGGACTTCATGATATTTTTTTTTAAAAATTCCAAGCTTAATTATTTAGTAATAAGTGAGTGTACATGTTAGGATCCATATGGTAGTGGTTATTTAAACATCCATTACTATAAATCGGACCTAACATGAAAAGATTAATTTATCCCATGCGTATACCCAGTATGACTAAGATTTGTCACCTCGGAAAGTCATGGGACAAACAAAATATCAACATAAATTTTGTTTACTTCTTCATTTCAGACAAATATCTGATGAGTATACTAGCAGATGTGAAGAAAGAATTTCAGTGCCATATATTTTATCCCAGACACACAAGTCTACTTAAAATTCTTCGCAAAATATTAGAAGTAAAAAAAATGTAATATCATACAACACAGTAACAGAACCTAAAAGATTTTACATTCATCTTTAATGGATGGTTAAGTCTGGTTCTCCAAGCTCCCAGAATGTTGAAGCAATAAATAATAGACCTCTTTAACTTACTAAATATATCTTACAAAATACGGCAAGCTTTAATAAGCATTACAAGTCTGTTTTAAAAAATCAAATCAAATCATAATGTTTAATAAAGTACTTATACTAACTATTTATCTGTCAAACGTATCCCTCCCCCACTCACCACATTATTTCCTCATTGTTTCACTACATACCAAAAGTAAAACCAAATTATGAAAATTACACAAAATTCTAGCAATTTAAATTATGCAAGGTGAATTTGAATCTAATTATGTACATAATGTCCACCCCTTCTACTTTCCTTTATGCTCTCCTATTTGTGTTCACTTAACTAAACACAATGTACTATACATCTACTACATTTGATTTTTTTGGAAAAATATTTCAAAGTAACCCAGCAACAAGAATTTTCTTTGTACTGAAGTAACTACATATGAATGAAATAGTGTTATATACAAAATAAGGTAAAATTATTTTCAGTAACCAGTTATCAGTTTTCCTACAAGCATAATGCTAATTCTGTTGCTACAAGTACAAAGCTACCATTCTTGGTGCAACTTTACAGACTACCAAATACATCTCATTTATTTACTATGTATGAAGAAGGATGTTGTGCTGACCTAAAGAAGTTAGATGCAAGGATAAGTAACTAGAATATGTAATGATACAATTATGCTATCATGCCTAATTTAAGATATCAGTTACAAGTGAATTTAGTGAATGGTGTAATGAGTGCTCAATCTAAATAGTTTTGCACTGATCTCACAAGTGATCTGCACGAAGATCACAAATGTAAATTTTTCTTGTTTGTAATATATGTTAAATACTTACTACAGACGTTGTTCCATCTCCAACTTCCTCATCTTGCAGCTGAGCAAGTTCTACAAGAACTTTAGCAGCAGGATGTTCTACTTCAAGTAGTTTCAAAATTGTTGCTCCATCATTTGTTATTGTAACATCCTATAGAAATGGAAAAATTAAAACTATTAACAGCTAATAATCAAAGATTGTGTAAAATAATTGTGTGTCTGTATATCCAGTAAATCAAATTATGAATGTTTCACAACTCCTCAATCAACACACATTAGTAGTTTTATTCCTGTTTATCCAATACTAACATACACTACTTTACCTACAGAAATAGCCTATAAATGTTAACTGAATATTTAAGTCGAAACTAAACAGAAGCCCCTTGTGAGACCAAAGATTATATTTTCTAATGCATTCAAAACATATTTTCATTGATAAACAAGATTATCTTTCCTCAATCCTACTATAATTATGTCTAATTTTTAACTTTATCAGTAGTATTTTTAGATGTGATGTCACATCTCACATTGACAATAATCAATCCATAGACCAATGTCCTGAAGCATCCTGCTGATTGACCCATGCCTCCCAACTTTAGAGGAGAGCATAAGGGAAGAGAAACAAGTCCAGATAAGGGGGAGGAAGTGGTAAACCTGATGCCGTGGGGGATATAATAAACCACAAATATATATAGTCAAAGAGGGAAGGAAGAAAGTTAAGGAGGAGAATCCAAAGGAACCATACCATGGTTCATGTAGCATCTCCTGAAAAGATCGCAAGTATGTCAGACCCAAAGGGGAGAAATGCTTCCATTGAAATCCACATCCTCTAATGTGTTAGAACCTCACTAACGGTAAGAGGTTAACTGTAATGGTGTGGATAACAGAAAGCTCCAATGAATGCATTCAAGGAGAAGAATGGGTGGTCCCTATGTAAGTGGGTGTGTAAAAAGACACTCCCCATATAGATGAGATTGTTAGTTAGGTAACAGGAAAAACTTATCCAACTGGAAAATCTAACCACTTGAGCTGCTTGTGTAAGAAGCAGATGTTATGACCATCCCATATGGTAGGAGCTAATTGAAGGCAGACGTCCAAGCAGTGGTGTTAGCGAAAAACCCCAAAATGCAAAACCACACCTGACAAAAGATATACAGAACCAAAACCAAAGGGCAAGGCACGAAACTGGTACCTAATTACGTGGTGAAAAAAACACCCAAGATAGCGTACCGAGAAATGAAAAATAAGAACATGTACTGTGGACATTCTCAGTCCTGCAGAAATTGCCCATCCAATTGTGATGAAAAACTATATATTAAAACAGAGAAGAACCAAGAAGTGATTGAGGCAGGGCCCCTCGATCCAGAACTCCAATCAGCACTGAGCATACATGAAGAATGAAGAAACCCATAGGTACGACAGGTAAAGGACAGGAAAGTTCCCAAACATGGAATATGAATAAAGGTGGCATTGTCACACAATGAAACAAATGATCAACAAAAATATAGAATATAGCATTGCAAAAACCTCATGTGATGCTAAATGGACAGAGTAACTCTAAAAAATGGACCAGTGGAGAGAAAGAGCTGACAGTGAGTCCCTGTTAGAATTGGATAGTAAACAAATGGCACAGGACAGTGTCCCAACCCAGAAGAACCCACGTGTGGAGGGAAAGAACTGTAGATGGCAAATATTCCAAAATAAAGGAGGTGGAGGAACTGTCCCAAGAAAATCCCTTAGATATAGGTGGAATGCTCAAGAAAGGAGGTGGAAGAAGATATTTCCTGTAGGAGAGTCGCTAAGGTAAGACAAAGCTAGAAAACTAGGTGGGGGATAAAATGGATAGGATGAACAGAGGCTGCCCACATACAGGCAACAGATTCTAAGTACATAGAATCAAGAAGAATCAGGTGGAGGAAAACTGACAAAATCTAGGTTGTCCTAAGTGAAGTCAGCAGTTTTTGGAGGAAGACGAGCAACATCAGGAGATGGTAGGGCAGCCCCTGGCCACAGGGGATCAATAAAAACAAACAATTATTAGTATAAATTATGAAATACAAAAATGAAATAGTCAATATAATGTAAACTTAAGTAAGTGTGCAGTGAAATAAACATATATGTTAGATGTTATGTGTTGAAGAAAACAAGATACTTAACCTAATCATCGATTTACCCATAAGATGATTTACAGGTAAACCTAAAATAACAGACACTTGTGAAGGTTAATCGAACTGTACAGGACAAGTATATCACTAAGCTCTAAGTTAAAAAACTCTAACCTAAAAATAGGTATGTACAATATCGGGAGAAGTTTATGTGGTTACAATGTTTCATCAGGTTAACATGGCATCATCAGATACAACAACTACAAGGAATGAGTTCCTGATGTAGATAAAACAATAAATTAACAGATTGATATTTGATTGGTTGAGTTTAACAAGACTGCAAAACAAAAAAAAAAAAAAAAGCAAATGGTCAAACAATGTTATTTTTCTATACATGAGAAACCTTAATCATAAAACCAGCTGGAAATCAGCCAAATTAATACATAAAGCTGGAAATTACATCAAAAGAAATATTGTGGAAAGTTCATTTATCCTAAATTTGCCAAACTTCAAATACCACTGAAGGTTAATTAAGCTGAACTCTTTTGTTATAAAATAAACAGTGTATGGGTTTCTCTAAGCTATCAATTGTTGGACAGAGGACGTGTGAAAGTGTCAAACTTTGTACACAAACAAATTTAATGTTTAATTTCAAAATAGTGCTTCAAAACATTACTTTAGGTTTTACTGTTATTATGTATTACCTACTATCAGAATGTTAATATTCTTATAACTGTTAAGAAAATCTACAATAAAACAAATATTCTACTTCCTGACAAGTGTGTTTAAAATATAATATCAATAACTGCTAGACATTTTCAATAGGTTAATATAGTTTGATTGTACTATGTTATAAATTCACATTAAAAAAAGATAAAATGTGTATACAACAAGTTAACCTTAGAAGTTTTAAACTGTGAATCCAGCGGCAGTGTATGTTAACATTACACTAAATCAGAACTTGGAAAGTCCCAAGGCACAGGTTGCCATGGCAGCTTGTCAGATTTTTAAATATTAGTCAGCTGAGATTCTTCTACAGTAGGTGTCTGTGACTTGGTGATAAGTTTGAGCAATAAATGAACAGCACACAATCACTTGTTTTAAAACAATATATATATATTTTTTTTTTCAAAACAAGTCAAACTTATGTAAAAAGCTTCTTTACTCTATAGAAAATCACAGCTTTATTTAAAAGTAAATAATTTTCCTTTCTTGTCAAAAGTCCACACAGGCTGATTCAATTATTCTAAAATTCAATTGACAAGACAAATTACTTTTCTTTACTCTTATCACAATGGTATCAGTGAATGACTCGCTTATGTTACCCTGTGGTTTACCACAGTTGTATCCCGAACTTTAAATAATTGTCTCCATTTCAAAGTCCACACAGGTAGGTTCAATTACTTTAGAACACCCTTTGACAAGAAAAATTATTCCCCTTATCTCTGTTAAATTGTGAAACTCACATCACCCATTAAAGCTAATCACTCACTTGCTGGCTAATTTCACATTTTCTAACTAAACTTCACTTTTCTTCTCACTTGGTCACCTATATTTATACATTTACCAAATGATTCCTAAAACTTTCTACAAACTGGGAAATGCTATAATGTAACAATATTCACATAGAGAGAAAAGCTTAGAGGTTTTGAGAAAGATGACATCAACTAAACTACACACACACAATGCAAAACTCTTACCAACTTACGTAACAAAATTTGTCATAACTATAACCTTTAAAATAATTACTTTTAATGCTCTTGTTATGAAAACTAAATAATCATTAAATTTTAAATCACTAAATAATAACTTATACTAAACAGTCTTGTATATCCAACACACCTAAAAAAAAAATAGACCTGGCACCTAGGAGTTTTTAATTAATTTTTTATTGAAAACTGTGCTTTTCTGTATATATAAAAAAAAACATTTGTAATATTACAATCAGAGAAAGTTTGGTACTACAATCTATTTCCAATAAGTAACAAAACACCAGAAAGGAAGTCTAAATTGACATTCTGAAAAGACTTAAGATTTCCAATGTCTAACTACAAACCAACAAATGTGGGTATCAGCATGTAAGCTCTCAGTTGTTTAGACATGTTTAAGACAGTTGACACTTGAAGTTTCCACAAAAATTGCATGTTACTTCACATTAGAAGCATTTTAACTCGATGACCACAGGCTATTAACTGAGCAGCCAATGCAAGTCTTGCTATATTTCATTCCAACAGCAAAACTAGTGGATGAAATTGTTTGAAACTTCATAAGAACTTTCATATATGCACGTAGTTTAAGAAACAAAGCCTATTACTTTGATAAATTACATTAGGCAATGGTATTTATAAGAAATGATCATGATATTTATATTTGTTCCAAATTTGAATTTATTACTTTTGTTTAAGTACATTATTTTAAAATCCCTAAAAACTTTTTGCCATCCATAAAATGCAAATTTTGTCTATTTATAATTTTTTTTTAATAATCACTTACTCTCCTTATGGTTTCAAGTAATATACAAGACCCAAAAATAATATTTGTAAGTAAATCTAAACAATAAACAAGTATTTTTATTTTTAACTAGGATTTCATGTTTATATATTGTATATAAAAAACATTATAATTTTGTTTAATAAATGTATTTTTATTTCAAATTTATGTTCAAGTTTCACTGCAGCCATACTTTTGTTTATTGTGCCGAATAAACCGTGGGGTTAGCAGCGTGAACTTTGTACATTTGCCGTAAACTATCATGCCAGTTTGAGGCCACTCTCGTTCAGTCCAATGCAGGCGCATTTGAACATTACTGTAGATATGTTAGTAAGAAAGCTTTTCGGTACTTGAATATCATTTCTTTGAACTTTCAAACAAGTTTTTTTCAACATATGTCCTTGTACGTTGTTTCACTACACAGACAAAATTAACTGCCACTACTAGCAAATGTATATAATAGTTTACAGTACAGGTGGTTTGAATAACACTGCCTGACCCCTAGTTACTTGATACATCCTATTAGAAGAGATTACCAAATGATACAGACACCATAAATTACAAAGAAAATGACTTCACAGCACTTAAAATATTAGTCCTGGTCACATTCCTCTCATTATAGGCAAGATTTATGTTGGAATTCGAAACTTAAGCTCTTCAGTGTATTGAGACCCCAACTGTGAGAATGTCATAGCTTCCCTTGTGTTATGGAGATGATTGTATTTAGTCTGTTTCACAACCAACATATGGGTTTTATTGTTGTCACTTTTACACTGAGTTTTAAACCATTTGCAAAATATCAGAATAAACATATATGTATATATATACCAGTTACTGTTTTAATTTTAAAGCAACAAGAAAAGTGTGGGTCTTACTACAAAGCAAAGATAGTAAGAAAAAATATAAAATTCTTGTGGTACTGGTACTTGTAGTATTACGTACAAATCACACAAGTTTATCATTCTAAATACTGAATCATATTATTATTAAACTAAATATACAATTACACTAAATTATTGAACTTAAAACTACTAATTTAAATGCAAAATAAAAAAATCACAAACTCTTTCAGTTCAAAGTGCTAAGTCTAATTTATGTAAAGACCTTGCACTCGCCACTCAATAGCTCTTAACCTAACTTTCATGGATCAACTTCTTTCCTAAAAAATATATCTATTTTGATTTAATTTTTCAATATAATGATTAATATAAACAGATATACTATACAGCATTACTTAAGCTACTGTAGAAAAATAATAAAAGTCATACATCCCATGCAGTTTTTCCAGAAGCAAGTTTTCTAAAGCTTACAAAAAAGCCCTATTGACAAATACTAAATGCAACCTCTACATAAAATGGCAGTAACTATAATAAGCACCACCCACATTCATATTGTAAAATCCAGAGAACAACATTTCGTCAGGTGCTTTGTTTATAATCCTATGATTTGTCGGATGTGAAATACAGCAATTGGAATAACATGGTACTGAAATTGACACCTTTGACTAGGATTGGCTAAAAGTTTTACAACTGAGGTTTAACATGCCCAGACACTGTTTTATACATAAAACGGGCTAGAAAAAGGTTTAGATACCAATCATAGATGGCAGGACCAGTGCTGAAGTACAAGGAATTTTTTTTTTTTAAATTGTAAAGAAATTTTCTTCTTAGAGGGCACTTATTTATTGTCTCAAACATATTTTGGGATTTTTTTTTATTAAGTTTCTCTTTAAACTTCATTAAATAATACAATTTTGTACAAATAATTGAATGTTATGCTACTATTTACATAAAGATAAGTTCTTTATAATTTTTCCAATTCACAAATGTGATTTTGCCCTAATGATAAGACAAAATGGCCACAGTAAGTAACAAGTTAAGCACTAAATTATACGAAAAAAAAGTGTTCCATGTCTGAAATGCACAACTGGCACAAAATTGAAAAGTTAGTCACAAATATTCTTAGTGGCAAGGCATAGATGAGCCCTCCATATACCTTATTAGGTTTATCTACTACCATGGCTCCTAAATGTCAAACATTAAATATTTTTCATGCAAAATAAAAAATAATCATCATACAAACTAAAATTCTCTCAGTTTCGGTCTACAGGAGTGCAAACTTATTCCACAAACTCCTTTAAAAATAAGGTGTTTTAATGCTATTAATTAACCTTAAAATGTAATTTCTTCAAATAATGCTCAAAAGTGGTGATAAAACTAGACGAATATATTAAAATATAAGCAATTTTTCAGACATTAAAGATTTTAAATAAATCTTCAAAAAATGGTGCTCCTCTATGAAAACTTTTAAGTGTACTGAAAAGAGTAGCTTCTTTAGTATATGAATTATACTAAATGAGATAAAGTGAAAAACTAACAAAACAGCGGATAAACATACCCCTACATCATCCACAAGCATCTTGTCCAGACCAACTGGCCCTAGTGAGCTTTTCACTATATTTGATATAGAACTTGATGCCATAACTGTAAAGAAAAAACAAGTGTATGCAACTTGAAACACCTTAACAACAATCTTACAGTGACAAATGTACAAGTTAAAATATTAAATTCAGAACCAGGATTTCAACACGAGAAATACATTACATCTTCACAGCTAACGATAAAAACAATCATTGATAAAATTTTAAAGTCCAACTTAACCATTTTACTCAAACTTAATGTTTGTTTTGCCTTTCAATAGTGTTTTTTTTTTCTCCTACTCATCATTCAAGTCTCATTTTTACCAAGAGGTTGTACTGAGAAATATTTGGGTAACAATAACCACACATCAACAAGATATTACTCATACTTGAGTACACTGAACTATTTTCAGAATATTCCACTACAGACAATTGTAGCTCATTCCATAAACCAATCACCTATTGGAAAAATAAAACTATCTTTACTGGAGTCTAGCCTGTCTTTCATAAATCTTAAACTTGTCTTCAGAATAAAGCGCAAAGAAATCAAAAACCTTAAAGTGGTAAATAGTGTGGGCAAGCACCAATTATGAAATAACTACTGTATAATTTTTTTTTCTATTTCCCTTACAACAACCACTCATTTTCTGATGCACAGTAATATATTTATTCTACATGGCTGCACAATGCAGGACATTGATTTTAATAAACATTATTTCCCCTGCAACATAACAAAACTTGTATCTTTTTATTATTATTATTATTGTACATTTTGCCTTATAAAACCAATTTTATAATTCTCTTTATGAACAGTTATCCATAAATGCAGTTTTCTTCCTCTTTACAGAAAGAAGCATCATGTTCATTTATAATAATATCAAGGTTTACACATTTCAATCTTCATGCCCAGATCCTATATTCAATGGACAAAGATTTTACATTAAAATTAAAAAGCTGAACTTCCATTGTAATTTTTCTTGAACATGTAGGATGGTGCATAATATTAATAGTAAGTCCAGACTCTGCCATTTCTCTGGTTAACTAAAATCAATACATCTGTCTTTTATTACATTTAAAATACTCAATCCAACAAAAATGTCTTACTCTTAGTCTCATGTGAATCTTCATATTAATATTAATGCTTTTAAATGTTTAAGCATTTTAAAAATTTCGTAAAACTTTATACAAACTATATACTGCAAAGTTTTATTAAAATATACAAATTAATTAAGTTATTTATCTTAACCTGATGCATTCCGAACATTATACTTTTAGTATAAAGCAAACTCCTCAATAATTTCTAGAATTTTCGATGGAACACCCTACACTTATAGCGAACATGATTCACCAGATAATAAGGCAAGGCCTACCCGTCAGCAGTGCACTCGTAAGCTAAGGGAATGAAACTCCAATGTAGCTAGTTAAGGCCCGCAACATCTGCAAAGCCATTTTTGAAAACCTTAATTACAATACACATGGTATCCTTGAATTTTCACATACTAAATAAATATACTTCAAAAATGATTTTGTATCATCAAATATTTTACCATTTTGTGTTCTGACAGATTCTCCCGATGTTCTTGAACCTCCAACACTGAGTACGCTACCTATAGCTGACATCTTGGAAAAGAAAGACAACGTGGGAAGAACGCTAGGCTAAACTGGTTATTGTTCATTGTATAAATCATACCGACTATTACCGAGAATTTTCCGAAGTTCTTAATTATAGATGACGCTACTCTAAAGGGTAAGAAATGTTCCAATAAAAACACAAACCCACTCTCTTTCTAAGATCTATGAAAAACTATTTTGATTTCTGTAATTTCCTTTTTTGTTTCATCTTAAATAGAAACATTTTTTGTTTCATAGACTGATTGTTTTGTTGTTTTATTTAACATTTAGTTCAGTAGATGCTTAAAAATAATTTATCAAAATGTGTATATAAATAAAGAATCACACCGAGGTTTACCATAGCACAATTAATTAATTTCGTTTAGATCGGGTTGGGCATAACTAGATGATTAATTTGTCCACACTGTGAATTAGAACATTCTTAATTTACGTCTCATTGTTACAAAAATGCACCCTGCAGTTTGGGGCCGTGGGTATACTATACGAGCAGACCCCGACAAATATTTTCAAATCTAGGAGGCAGGTGTGCCTAACTTAACTTTAGTACTGTTTGTACCGGGAAATTAGGGCTACACTAGTGCCTCGATTATCCGCGGTTTTTTTTTTTTTTCCAAAATCTTCTCAAAATAATTGTGCTATTACAATTCTAGACAATCATCTACATGTTTTGGAGAAACTGTCGCTCAGAAATTAATTTTGGTTGCAAAAGTTCAAGTGTTGCATGATATCCGGGGTTTTCGCGTGCAGGATCTGGTGTGTGTTCAAATCATATGTCGGCCGGTTCAAACTTAGCCTTGCTTCTTATATTTTTAGCTGTTAAGACAGGAATAAAACACACAAGATGTACATTAAAATTTCTTAAAGAATTCACTCAACTTTAGTTGTCGTCCTCTGCTCTATGCTGCACGGCGGTCGTCCTTTAACCACAGATGCATGTTCAAGTTGTGTTGGGGGTGTTGTCCAGTTACCTACAGGTAACTGGTATCTTCAGACTTTTTTAACAAAGGCTTTTTCGAAATAATTCATAAGCATAGATTGGCGTTAATTTTTGACTTAATTTTCACAGTGTTTATAGCAGAAAAAGTGCCGAAACTTAGAAGCTATTTACGCCTATGTTAGCGCCTAAATTCAACTAAAACGGGAACGGGCAATCCAAAGAGGAAGTATTGTAGGTGAAAAGGTGGAAATGGACTCGTGTAACTCACGAAATTCGGAAAAATCGAGCGTGACCGACAAACACTTGGCTTATATGGTTATGATGATTGTGACGACTTTTATAATTTTTCATAAAAATGTGTTGTTGGTTTGGAATAAAGTACAAAGCTGCACAATGGGCTATATATGCTCTGCCCATCATGTGTATCGAAACCCAGTTCCTAGCGTTGAAAGTCCACAGACATACCTCTATGCCACTGGGTAGCTGATAATATTGTTGCGTCAGCGAGGTCACGTGACTAGTATCACGCCACGTCCTTCTAGAAATATCCTGTTCCTTCATGAATGCT